AACATTTTATGTACTATCACTAAATATCAAGATTTCGGGAAATTCATTTCTATGATATAAATATTTACATTTGAAAATGTCTTCGTCATGTCGCCCTACTCAAAGTCTAAATTAAACGCACGTACACATTACACTGGTTTCATAAGCGAATCATTCACTGTGGTTGTTACATAATTTTAAATGATTTTCTTGATGCCGTTTGTAGAGCATCGAGTCTGAACTCTTTTAAATATATATACTCACAAAGCAATTAATTATTTTATGTACTCATTATTTATTTTAGAGACTTTATAATCACATTATTTGAGTTATATTTTGATATAGGTATGTATTTATAATACATATAATAAGTACGGTACTAAGAAATATATTAATGCATAGAAATATATGTATGTCATATATGTATAACTTATGATGTCAAAGATTTTCTCTATACTTTTATCTCATCCCCCTGTGAGCATAATTGCTATAAAATAATCGAAACGACTGTTAATATTGGTAAAATTAATTTCAATAATTTCTCATTGCACTTAAATAACAATAAAAGTATGTAAATTAATATTATATATTATATTTAATATAAAATATGCAATAGGTCATAACATAATTTCTGAAACTTGAACAAAAATTACTATTTTGTTTATTTGTATCAAATACCCAAAAATTCAAATCTATTCCCTTTATTATATTAGAAAAAAAAGGATTAAAGTGCAGATTTCTTTCTTTTCATTTTAGTACACGCATAATATATATATATATATATATATACACAGGGTGACTGGTGAATTATTATCAATATTTAAGGAGCATACTCGGTACATGATTCTCATTCGAGTTATGTAAAAAAAATAGGTATTTAATTTTTGACCAAATTTCTGTATAAATGAATAAAGTGTGTACACGTTCCAAGTGTTCCAAGTGTGGACGCGTGCGGCGGCGTGCTGATACAATAACACGCCGCCGCGCGCGAGTGTGTGTGTGTGTGTATACCTAATCTGTAGGGTGTTCACACGATGCGTAATTAATTACATAACTTTTGGTTAACTTTACTTAGAAGTTTATTAATATTTATGTTATATTAATTTTTATTTTGTCATATATGATCGTCAAATATCACGTCCTCAAATATCGATAGTAATTCACCAGTCACCCTGTATATATATATATATTTATTAACTGCTGTTGACCGGTTAAATTCAATTATGGTTTTCGTATAACGTTCTTGATTTATTCTAATTAAATGTTATTTAAAGGTTATTTAAGCAAAGCAGATAATGACGTAGTTATGTCAGCTAAAAGACCTGAATCGAAATTGTAGTTATTGGTACACAAGTTTACTTAGTTTAACAAAAGTTCAGCTAAATAAGCCTAATCCAGTTCAAAAATATTTCTCTATTAAAAATATTTATCTGTCTGCAGTTTATATTTGTTTTGAGGAAACATGACTACATTTCAGCTCAATTTATACAAAACTTAAGTGGCTTCGAGTAACAAGAATTTCCTCGTTTTTTCTCAGTCAAATGCCACCTTGTTTGAAGAAAAGGTTTAATCCCTTCGCCGCAGGGGATCTCTAAATGACCTTAAAAGTCCCAATTTAAATCTTTATTTTTTTTATTTCGTTTACTTTATCTGCAATTCAACTATGGAATACTTTGCTTTTGAAAACATACGTGTCTGGAGCAGTGAATATTTATGAGAAATCGGTCAAGAATTCTGATTCATCGCATGCATACATTTGTTTCATTAACGATTGACTGTGTTTTGGATAGAGTGGCATTCATTTATTATTTTATTAAGACGCCACGACCTCTGGATAGACCATACTGCATCGTCCATACAAGTGTATGGAAGAGATAGATTACTTTGGCGATAAGATCGTCTACATGTCAAGATATTTAATTATATAATCAAATTTCAAAATGATATCAATAAAATTTGAAAACAAAGATATTTTTATAAAAAAAATGGATTTACAATAGACTCTGATATTCAGAGACCTAACCTGTACCTCATACCGAACTTATGTATCTGTCAGAATAATGTATTAGCTACAACATTACAAACTTTCCATCGGAAGACGTCAAAAGAATCTTATATCGTAAGAATTGCCTTGTCACAGGCGATAAATATCGGCTGTTGGTTACCATATCTCACTTTGGAATATAGTCATTACTGGTCGTTTCTCTGAAGTCATATACGAAGTGAAAACTAAGTAAAAAAAGAGGAATAAAATTGTAATTATTATAAGTATAACATTTATCAAAGCTTTGAGTCTTTCATTATGATAAAAGAACAACATTTAAAGTGTTACTAAGGCAAAATTTTGTGATCTATTTAAAAAATTATATGCCATAAACACACATGTTTCTTTCACTATTTTGAAAATAAAAATGTGAGAAATACGTATGCTTTAATTTTAGTCAGTGTACAGTCTGCTGGCACTCGTATTTTCTACACACTTCGTCTACACATTTTCGTGTGCGTGTGTTTGTGAGTGAGTGTGTGTGCGTGATAAGTAATTTATTAGGTAAGTGGTTTCACTACATCGAGCATATTCTTCAAACTAACTTTTATGTAACAGTCTACTTACCAAAGAACTCGTTACTTTAGGGGTTAGAACACGTAAAATTTAAAGTAAAAACTATCTTAGATTACATTTTAACCATTTATTATAACATTTTACTCAATATCTACATACGACACTCAATATTGCAACGAGATTAATAATACTTACGACATTCCATATGAAGCTTATATAATATTATTGCTGTTTAGAATTTTACATTATTTACAAACAAACTATTTATAAAAATATATTTATAATCAATTATACAATTAATACATATATATATTACGAACTGATAATATTATGTAATTAAAATAAGTTTAGAATAATTTTATCTGTGTTCATGATCTTTATTAATTTATATTAATAGGTATATAGTTAACTTATCAAATTAAAATATTATTCAGTCTGGGCTGTTCCTGACTTAATATAAGAATTTAAAATAAAGCTGTAAAAAAATGGATATAATTTGTGAACCATTGATACATTACAAATTTAAATAATGTATAACAATTTTTCCGTTTACTATGAGCTTTTCAACAAATTATTTAAGTATTTTTTATTTCACCTCACTTTTTGTTTTCGCAAACATTATAATTGGATTTCATATTAAATATTCACAATAACTCATCACGTATCTGAATCTTTATTTAAATGTACCAATTAAAAGATAAACAAACTGACTGCTAAATTTCTTCATACATCTTTTTATCCATGGTTTAGATATAAATATTATAAAGTATATAAAATGTGCTTAAATGCAATCATAATAAAATACCTTACCAGATGTTTGCATTGTTTCCCTACATATGGAGATTTTGATACATATATCTAAGTCGATACTATCATATTCTAAGTTTTACGAATAAGAACCACGTAAACACAAGTAATAAAGGTGACAAAGCAAACATATGATAAGCATAATCTAATAAATAATCAATAATCACTATATACAACATTTATTTACACACTAATTTTAATATAATTATATTATTTTTATTCAATACAACACTTAATTACGTATTTGTTTTCCCCTTTGCAAAGTAATCCTTAAACATAACTTAATTCTATTTAGTATCTACTAAACATTTATTATAGAGGCAAGATTCAAACGGAAATATTTTTCTAAGAACTATAAAAGCTTAATTTATACAACATGGTTTTCATTCATAAAATTATACAAACAACATACAGAAAACATAATAATTCTCTACCAATTTAGATAGTTACGTTTCTTATCGTAAAATTTTATTAGGAAGCATCTTAGAAAATTTACTTAAATGATTTCATTCTTATCAATTATAAATCTTGTAAACAATGTTAGTTGGTTGTTTTCAATGACGTCATATCGCATGTTCACTTGTAATCCAACACAAGTTATAGGACTTGCGTCGTATTTCCGAAACTAACAATTTAATTGCTTTCAAAAAAACAACTTACAAGGTTGTAGTTACAGATTAAGCATAATGTTATGGCTAGTACAGAAAATACTCTCTTTAGTTACGTTCATTAGCTACTTTCATAAAATATTTTCTCTTCAACCTATAATTTAATTTAAATTCCCTAGTAGAAATCTAATTTAAACTGTTTTAAATCAGAAATCAAAACAAAAGCAAGTATAAATAAGTAAATGAATATATTATTGCAAAGCAAGAAAGAAAAAAGATTACTGTGTCATACAACTGTAAAAGAAAATTTCATGAGCTCGTGACAAATTATTTTTATACATCGATATCTTTTATTTTGAGGTCAGTTAAAATAGGAATATTTCAAGACATATTTCTTAAATATAAAGCATGAACCAATATTGCCACGATTATATATGATAATATGTTTTTTTTACATACATTTGTTTACTTCTATCTTGAATGATCTGTACACTAGATATTTATAATGAAATTCAACAAATCTAACATCAATTTATCTTATTCCAGTGTCGTTATAATTCTACTTTGTTTAACACATTCTGCATGACTACATTATTTATGCGACACCAGATTTTACTTGAGTATTTACAAAAAGCGTTGATTTGAATTTGATTTCTAAGGATTATACAAACACTACATATAAAACGTTGCTTAGAGCGAGCTAATTTCATTCATGAACGTTTATGTCTAGGTCAATCAAAAATATTTGTCTACATCTAAAAGTTGTAACACTAATAAAATTATTGCTTTACGTGAGCTTGTCAGAATTTTCATTGTTTACGCTATAATGGTCACCTGTTTTGTCACTAAAATTCGTTGTGATAAATTATTTGGAATTTGGATTTATTGCAGAATGTACTATTGTTTGTTAAACGGTAGGTCCTATGTCTAATATATTTTCTTTTGTTAAGCATTCACCTTAATTTTATGGTTGGATATTAAAAATGCAGATTATACGCTTTTAATTTCATACATTTCATAAATCTTGACAATATGATACTGCAATATCATACAAAGGACGCTGTGCCTGTATCCTTCCAACATTTAAAACAACAAGGCAGCGCACACATCAGCGTGTTTTTAAACGCGTCTCGAAAGTCCCTATTAAAATAGGCGTAAATCAGTGGATTTAAAGCTGAGTTGAAGTATCCAATCCAGAAAAGTACACCAACTACCACATCGGGAGTATCACATGGCTCACCGCATACGTTTGTTGTGACATACCTGTAAATTAACTATCATTAATAATATTTATAAATAAAACTCCAATTTCTTGACAAAATTTGGCCCATAAAAAATAGTAATAATCATTCATATGCAATTAAAAAAATAAAAAATATGATTAAAACATTATGTTTTTGCAACTCACCATAGAAAGAATGGTAACCAACATAGCAAAAACGCTCCAACAATTATGCCAAGTGTTCGAGCCGCTTTATGTTCGGCCCTCCACGATTTACCAGCCGCCCGTAATGTCGCACCTGTGAAAAATTGTTTCGTATTAAAATAAAGCTTATATTTTAATTTCGAACATTGAAACTTTTCGTGTATAATGAACGCAATATTCATTTTGAACATAGTTGGGAGTTTTTTTTCGTAGTTTGCTATGGAGTTTTAAAACTATTGTTCACCAATTCTATACAGTCCTATTTCATTAAAGAACTATACACGATTCCCATATATAATTCTGAGTACTCATTTTTGGAACAAAATATTCCGTAATATAACTTTATATTGTGTACAAAATATCCATGCTCCCTTTGTCATAATTTATACGTCCGTGTATAAATAAGGGAAGGGAAGGTCTCAACACCCAAATACGATCAGAGTTAGTAGACTCACCTGTAATATATCGAACTTACAAACAATTTTAATCTCGACATATTTGTTTGAGGTTGCTGTTTGAATACTGATGTTGTGACATTGTTAATACAAATATTAATTATTCATATTCAAATGTTTTCTATGTATTTACGAGAAAACTCATATAAATAATATATCAATATGTTTTTGAAAGAATAATAACACAATTGCCATTGAATTCTTTACTAAAAGAGAACTAAAATTTATGAATACAGGTAAATTATAAAAAAGATGATGCCTGCTTCAAGAGTGTATTATTTAATAAACTACTACAGCTCAGACAAAAAAAAACAAATATAATAACTTCGTAGAATCTGTCGGGGACAAAAGAAATTATATTAGTATTGGTGGCAACTCATTAAAATGCTTATTGAATTATAGTCTATATGGAAATAGAAGCTAGTCTCGTGGGTTCATGCAAAATGAGTTACGTCATACACAAAGAGAACTTGTAACAATGTCGAGAAAATGTTATAAAAACATAGTAAGCTTACTTTTTCTTTTGTTTATAATTTATTGAACAACTCCTCGAAAAGGATAGTCGTTGGCTGTATTTATGCTGTCGTTTTTGAAATATCTGTTTAGGAGTATATCTATTTATTAGCATAATTATAAATGTTCCTATAAAAAATGTCATGACCATTTGGTATGGTTATATGAAGAAAATAGTACTTAGAAGAAAAAATATACTTAAATTTGTAAATTTAGTGAGGACTAAATTTTCAGTAAAATATAAAGTTTCCTCTTATAAAGCATAAAGCATAAAGAATAAAAGATTGCTATTGCCGTGCTTAGAAAAGTTAATTATAGGTTCGTCCTATTACTTTCGCTTTGCCATTCTCAATAACGTCTGTGTTGTGTTAAAACATATTTTAATTTGTTGTACATTAAATGAATATGAGGCTTATATAATATATATTATTCAGAAGTTATTTCATTTGATTACATTTGAACAGAAACTAAATCTCTGTGATGCACAAAATAATTAACTCTAAAATATATACGCTCGCTTTGTTGTCTCCAAAATTCAGGTCACTTTATTTCCATTTAAATAGCTTTTTCATCAGTTTTAATAGCTTTCAAATTAAGAAAAAAATATATAAAAATACCTACAAATGTTAAATTTTGTTTTACTTACATTGAACTGCTATTGTGTAATGCAGAATAAAGTCTTTAAATTTATTCAAGCTTTTTTATTTATATTGAATAATGAAAAGTAGGTTTGTCATATAAAACTTCAATTTATTTTTGACACAAAAATTTGATTTTTAAGTTGAATTATTATAACACATTATTTCTTTTCAATGTAATGTACTCAAATATTTTGCTGACAATTCTGATTGAAATGATTATTTTCGGTATTATTTTTTATGTAGCATTAGAAACTATTCTAAAAGAAATTACGGTATTATAACTTTGTATTATTACTACTGTTCTCATACTTCTAATTGTTAAAAGTGTATCGATAGCAAAAAAACATTTCATTTAAAAATCATTTTTAACACAAAAAGATTTTATATCGTTTTTAGCTCTTTTTATTTAAAAACTCATTTATTGTTCTTCTATTAACGATTCAAACAAATCCCTGTGGAACCAGCAACTAGCAATGAGTAAGTTTCAATGACATTTTTATCATAAAGTTTTAAATCCGTGATCAACTACGTTGTTTGATAAAGATATAAAAGCAACACATCTGGGATTATATCAAACAAAACCAATCAAGAATAAATAGTTTAAATGTATCAAAGATTTTAATTTGTGATATTTATGAGTGAGTTACATATTTCAATATAAATTTAACATAAAAATAATATTAATGTGAATTGGTATAATTAAAACAAATGACTTATTATTTCAGTGCAACAGTTTTATAAGCAAATATTAAACTAAGGAAAATGTATTTTATTTATTCTATAAATTATGAAAAGAGCAATATTGGAAAATATTTCAAAAGAATTTCAAAAAACTTCTTTTTAGAAGCAAATATATACGCACTTTAAAAAGAAGTATCTAATTTGGTTGTGACTTCTATTTAATAGTAAACGAGAAATGTTTGTTCATCTGTTTTATGACTAATATAATATTAATATTAGGTTGAAGTCTCCATGAACTCTAAAATAAAAAATAATAGTGTACAGTCGTTTAGTAGATCAGTGCCTTAAATTTTAAATAATAATAATTAAAAAAAAAAAGTATTACGAAAAGTCTTAAGAAATAGTCTAAGAATAACATACAGACTGAACAAATTTAATTCAATGGAGTTATTAATAGAGACCAAAGATAAAATAAAAATCTACATATATTGTAAATTGAAAATCCATATCCTTCAATTTCAACAAGTTAAATCTCGGGAAAGCAATTAATGAAATAAATATAAAATTAATTACCCATTTAATTTTGTTCGTAAAGGCTCCATAAGGCGATTTCATTAAAACTTTGTTTAATTAAACCAAAATGTTTATTTCATTTATACCGAGGCTTTAACCAGCCTTTTCACTCGAAATAATCCGATAAGAATCATCGCTGTGAATAATAAAATCCATGAATGAGAAAATAATCTGATGTTAAAATGACATGGATTCCATGACATTAAATTACATTGTTATATATTTACTGTCAAATGGAAAAAATGATTGATTTCATTGGCTTATATACATTATATCGCTATTTTTGTATCAGTATATATATGAATGTATACTACAACAAAAAAATAAAATAAATAAAAAGCGTTTTAAGACACCTGTCTTGACCTACGTGTCAGAGGTTTTATAATTGAATTGCATATTTATCAACTAGCTCTAAATAAATTGGTACTCACCTTGTGAATTCAATTCTGTTGCTGCCTTAGCTAGTTCTTTTGTGGCCACAGCTGAAGTACAGCTTGGTCTCCAACCTGTTGGTGGTTGACCACTTGAAGATCTTTTGTTAGAACCTCCTGAACAATATCCAGAACTTGCTGTATCACAACTGATATTCACTGACTTTCTTGGACTTGCTTCTTTACTTGGACAAATATCTCCTAGAGCCAACACAACTTCTCCACCAAATTCTGTTTCTTCCGGACCAACTTCGGTGAAAGTGCTGTAGTTCGGACTTATATCAGATGGCCTTCTGTCGGGATGCAAGTAATGGGAGTGATGAGCGCTGTGTGATGTGTGTTTAATATGGACAGAATTGAGCAAAATATTTGAAGACGTTCTCGTTAATGCCTCCCTTTGTCTGACCGCTTCTCTGAATATCTTACAATACATTGATATCATCACTAAACTTGGTATCCAAAAAGATACACTAGATGATATTATAGCGTAAATCATATTGGCTTTAAAAATACATACATCAGGATGCGCTCTCCTGAACTGTCTGTGTTGTTCTGTCGTATACCATCCCATAAAAATTGGAACGAAACTTATAAATGCAGGCCATAGCCATACATTAGCCAACATAAAGCAGACAGTTTTATGTGTCATTAAGACAGGATATTCCAAAGGTCGGACTATCGCGTAATATCTGTCAACAGATATGCAGCAAAGATGTAATATAGACGCGCTTGAGAAATAAACATCAAGAGAATTAAAGATATCACAGACTAAAGGCCCGAAAAGCCAGGCATCAGTAAGTTCAGCACTTGCATTAAACGTCATAGCACACAACGCAACCAACATATCCGCCACAGCGAGGCTAACAACATAGTAATTGGTGATGACACGGAGTTTCCTGTGACGATGTACGGATATGATGACGAGTGCATTTCCCAGAAGAGCTCCGAGGATAATCGTGATGAAGACAAGGCCTTTGAAGACCAGAGAGATGGTGTGCCAGGTTTCGGGCGCGGCAGGTGGCAGCGTAGAGTGTAGTTCGTGAAGGAACGCCGGCTCCGTGCCGCGCCCTCTAATCTCTACCTCTCCTCGAAGGGCGCCATCTGAAAACAAAATATCATTATAACAATTTGCTAATTATATTATTTGTTCGATTAGCTTAAGAAAGAAGCTTATTTATTAACCCCGCTTGACCGTATGGATCAAATTGACTCCTTAAATTGACTTTATTTAAAACAATTTTATGGTTTTAATAAATCATTATAAAATGTAATAAGAAACTGAAGATAACGTCTTTTAATTGCAGATTAATTATAATAACGATATAATAAGGAATAATAGTACCGATTAAATAATTAAGAGCCTGTTAGAATCATTTTATTGAAATGGAAAATCTAATTTACCCAATAATAAAAGGAAACAAACTGTAAGGCCGATACAAAAATTTTACTTTTTGACTTCATATGCTTAAAAAAGGAAGGAAATATTTGTTTCTCATAAAAAATGTTTATAATAAAAGAAAAAATGAACAATATGTTCTTAACCCATTTAGACCGGAAACTATTTTTTTCGAAAAATATGTACTTTTTCGATTTTTATCGTATCATTGAACATTGTTATTAATGAAAAAAATATTAAAAAAAAAATCGATTCCATAGGGGGTCTGAGATGGTCCGTATCCTATGTGATACAGTAGGCTTATATAAAAGCATAAATTCGAGTATCTAAGGCAAAAAGTATTTATTGTCAAAAAATATACACCATTATTTTTTGGTATGATAGGTAAGAAAACTATGAATATAAAGTCCAATATTGCACTTTACACATCTTGCAGGACATGATCGATGACACAAGCCACATCTTGTTCGTTTATTCTGTGGTTGTTTGATGACGTAATGACCCTTTTCATCAAACCTCGTATCCATGGTTAGTGAGGATGGTCTACTAGGGCTGGTTTACTTCTAAGGGTATTTGATTCTATAAGTGCGATAGCTACGCGACGCCTGAAAATCAGCATATCGACATTACCACCATTATATTTGTATAGTAGCCAGGCGTTCTGAAGTGACATGTCTATACAATGCAGAATGAGTGGCATATACCACTTCTTACCGCGAATACTTGTCCGAAGAGATGATATGTTTTATCTGAAAGATCAACACATCAACAATCAGATCATTTTTTGCATCAGGTGTCTTTTCCAAGTACATACGTCTTCTATTTACTTGACAGGAGCCGCTTACTAACAAAATGCCTATAGCACACTTAATTTCTTCCATTTTCATATCAACGGGAAGATTTTTCCTTCCTAAGTATTTATTAGTCTCAGTAGTGAGTCATAGATAAAGATCTTCTGAAAAAAATAAAGAAAACCATTAGATAGGCGACCTTTGATTAGGAACATGGAACATAGGTTTCCATGTCGGTTTTGCTTCGGTAAAAATTTTTTTTCTCCAATTGTACTTTTTGAATGTTTTGCGTAGTGGTTCGCAGAAATCTGGCTCTTGATCTACTTCAACTCCAAGACCTGATTGTTGACTTTTAAAATCTTCTGAATTTGATCCATGCAACTCAGCATTCGTTCTCAACAAGCTCGGTGGTAGGTTGTTGATTTCGACGTTATCTTCGTCTCCAAAATCTTCATCAGTCAACACCCCGTTTGCATTTTCAGGTGGTAGTAAATAAATTTAACTGTAACTATTTTCGATTTCATCTTCTAACAGAATGACAATTTCATTCAATGTAAATCTGAAATAAGAAATATATTGTGCGTATTAGCCTACTGTATCAAATACGATACACTATAGTTTACGAATAAAAATCATGCAAAAATTTCCAAGAAATAATAGAACTAAATCAGTCAATTTACGCTTTAACTTGTATTCTAATTATAAATTGTTATAAATATGAGATAATTTGAAAAAATATAGCATTTCTTACCGTTTTGATGCCATCATATGATCACAATGCACAGATCACTAACAAACCATGTATGTAGTCAACTCGTGTATTCGACTATAACAAATACACTCTTCTAGGAATGTTGCACAGACTTTGCACTTGACATGGGTTCCAAATCAAATCAAATTCTTATCGACGGAGCTTCAAAATATTTTATTGCTTTTGGTGTATCGTATGTGAGACAGTAGGTCTAAATGGGTTAATCACACGAAAATGTATTTTAATACAAAAGCATTATTATATTTTTTTTCGAAAGCTACCATAGCTCGAAATAAAATTTGTGCAAAGACGAGCAGCCTGTATATTCTGCGGTTGTTTTAAAACAATTGTTTACAACTTTTTACAATTAAAGCATAATTGGTACCACTCGTAACTGAGTCATCCAATTCAGGTTTGTTAAAAATGCCTATTGTGATTGTCAGCTATCCTACCTATATTCACGTATAGCAAGCAGACAATAGTTTTAATAAAGATAGTGTTTTTTTTTTAATATTTTTGACAATCATGCCTAAGACGAAACAAACAGTTGAACATGTGATAACTATGAAACCAATTCTGATTTTCAGGCAGTAATATTCATTATACATAATGCAACAACTTAATAATTTGTAACAAATTCTAAAACTTCATTCAGTGGTTAGATGTTAGGGCTTTGTAGGAAATTTTGGATTTAAAAATAAAAGTTACTAGTTTATTTACTTAGCACCTAAGAAACTACATTTATAATGATATTAATAAAATAATAATAACTACAAATAAAACACATTACATATTATGTAATCTCCTGGACTTTTGTTTTTGTGGTTTGTTACTTTTATTTTTATAATATCCTCTGCAACATTATTTTGAAGTTTTAAGAGCACCTCAATTTATGTAATTAAAAGTCCACTGTAGGAAAATTTCTCTTATTTAGGCTTTTCAATGAGGCTACCACAGACCTCCTTAACAACTTTGAAAGCTTGCAAAACTCACAATTATTTAGATATTTTGGGAGATTTTATTTGGTTTCAACCTTAAAAAATATTCGGATGTCTATATAAAAATCAAAACCAAAAATATATGTTCTCACTTTTAAGTTTTAATATTAGGTTTCTTTTCTACACAGTAAATATATAAAAGGTTAGTGACGTAATATAAATAAGATCGTCTGTAAATAGACGTATTAATTAATTTTTGAATAGAAAAGAGAACAATTGTCACAACAAATGTTCATTAAGCTGAACCTAATATAGTTATCCAATATGGGAATATGAATCGTTAACTACGTTATAGTATTTAAATGCTAAAGTAACATATAATCAATACTTTTTAGTTTCATATAGTTAGGTAAAATCATAAATACTCATCCACGTACCCGATCCCTTAGGAAATCTGAGTGTCTTCGGATTTTGAAAGAAACTATTGTGCTAGCACTCAAGCCTCAGATAATCAGAAGAATGGATAAAAGCAAATCCGTATTGTATTAAAATTAAAGACAAAATTGCGTTCTAACTCTTTGACAGTATTTTAATATTATTTTATACTAGCTTTTGCCCGCGTGAACATCAAAGTAGTTCGCTGTTACTACGGCCACTGAATCCGAAATGCACTTCATGCTTCTACCCGTGTAGTTTTAGAATTGGGAACAGGATAAAAGGTAGACATGCCTTTCGCAAGGGTTCCATCTATTTCCATACCAAAATTCACCAAATTCATTATTAAACATAATTGTTAGCGTCTGATATTTGTAATAACTTCTAAACAAAATGTCCAATTGGGTTGAAACATAAGTATTTTAGTTCTACAAAAATATATTTGATAATTTTATTATTATTATTGTTTTATGCTCCAAATGAAATTGTAATCGGTGGAAGCTTTTTGGTTTGTGAACTTTTATATGTATTATTTTGATTAATTTTTTTTTTTAATACTGTTTGTTTCCCTAAAAAAAATAAAATAAAAAATAAAATAAATAAAAAAGCTTTATTTGGATAAGGATTTCAATACATATATAAAATAGTTCCCTTCTTCACACGATTGAATATTTTTTTTAAATACAAACGTGAATATTGTGAAAAACTATGATAGTTAGACGAATACTCTTGCGAATATTTTTCTAGGTCTACATGGTACCTACAAGCCCTTATACATTATTTTATACTATTGCCAATATATATGGCGTGGCGCTCAATTAATTTTACGATTTTACACCTTGGGTTACAAAGTAGCAATTACACATATCAATTTTATTTAATTAACTAGCTTTCCGCCCGCGGCTTCGCACGCGTGGATTTCGTTTATATCGCGTTTCCAAGAGAACCTTTCAAAAGTCTAGGATAAAAACTATCCTATGTTCTTACTCATGGTCAACTCTATTTCTGTACCAAATTTAATTAAAATCAGTTCAGTGGTTTAGGCATGAAAGCGTAATGGACAGACAGACAGAGTTACTTTCGCATTTATAATATTAATAAAACTTTCAAGTAATGTGGTGTTGAATTGTAGTATAATGTACCTACTGGGCCAAAATAACACCATTGAACATGAGTCAACTTTGATGGCTTTTAATATATATTATTTTATGTTTGCAAAAAATAATAATTTAAAAAATAGAGAATAGAAAGCTTATTTATAAGACTAAATTAATGAATTAGTTTTACTGCATAGCAACAACTTTCATGTGAATGGGTTTTGAGACGGCCTTGTATGGGGCTTTCCCACTGTGCGGCTACCGACGACCGACGGCATGCGGCGCACAGTGGGACAATCGTATATGTTAGTCTCAAAACTCTGTATCTCAGTTATTTCAAAACTGAATGATCTATAATTTTGTACACATATATGTGAAAGTAAAAGTCTTAAGGGAGCGTTCAAGTATTACGTAACGCAATTTGGGGGGAGGGGGGGTCTCGGAAAACGTTACGATGCGTTACAGGGGCGGGAGGGGGTGTCTCGTACAAAACGTTACGTAGCATTGTTTCTAAAAAAATATTAATAAAAACCCCCAAACTGGTAACTTTTTTCATATACGTTATGTTATGTTGACCAGATTGTATTAGTCTGGTTGATATTTTTATTTGTTATTCCAAGTTTGCAAACTTCCTAATTGATATTTTACGGGGAATACCTAGATTGCATTGTAAGTCATTTAATGTTGCTTCCG